GGGGGCACTTTGATGCAGAATGTTGGGCCGGCTTCCACGATGGGCTTCTCTGGCTGCTTCCACTTGTAGGGCGCACGAATGTCACGAGATTTTCCCGTGCGCATGTTCTTCTGGGTCATGCTCTTGAAGTCAACCTCATAGGACTGGCCTCGGAGCTTGTACTTGGCATGAGGGAAACCGGCAAGGTATGCGCGCTTCAAGATCTTGTCTTCATTCCCTTTGTAGTCCTCTCAGGAAACATCTGCAAAAGGCCTGTTTGATTTCACACTTAGCGGTTCAACCTGCAAACGTATGGACGTCCTTCCAGTTGCCCGAAAGCTTCACTTGGAAATGGTCCGCTGGCATATTCTCCTGTAGCGCAAGTCACAGAAAAACGAAATGTGAGCAAGGTTTGAATTAGACCGTTCTTCCTTTTCTTTTATCTTTGTTTCCAATAGCGATGCCCTCCAACCTACTAGCAATGGCCTCCAACCTACTATGCAAACGTTTTGCTTCCTTGCGCTTTCAGAATGCAACCATGGTAACGTTCTCCGTTTGGCTACTTTATATATATATGTAGACCTCTGAAAAGAAATGGTGAGAGGTCTAAGAAATCTTGGGCCTGGTGCTTTAGATATTTTTGGGCAAAAGGCTGTGCTATTTCTTTTGAGCCACAATGTCTCAGATCAAACGGAGATGTCAGCTTGTCAGCAACAACAGAATTGCTTTGAACATTACGCCATCTCTGGGTCGAACTTGCTCTCTGAGATCGACGCTGTCATGATCTCCCCCAATTTGTGAGGAGAAACCCCATTGGCAAATTGTGCAAGTGTAGAGCTCCAGTTGCGACTACAGTGCTTTCCATTATTTAACTGTAGCTCATTTGCGTGTCTCTGTTACCTTTCCTTCATCTTCATGTTGTGAGTTTAATGCTGCAGCAAGCCTTCACACATGCTCCAGATTTCCGGTCAACCGTCACTGTCAAACATGTCTTCGCTTAATCGTATCCACTGCCTGCAACTTCGTGCACTCATCTTGGCTTCCAGGTTGCGTCCCTGCGATTAGCTGACAGCACGAGCAATCTACGAATCTGCAACACCAATCATTGCTGGAGAGCTTCCTCGCCCATTTGTCCACTAGCATCTTGACTCGTGTAAGTAATGCTTCGCCGTTGTCTACTCTGAGGAACACGCCGCAATGCGGGCTGCAACTTCGAAAATGGGCCTCCAAGAGGCTTCAGTCTTCCTTCGTGTCGCAAAGGTGCAAAGCCACACAGAAAGAGCCTTTAGCAGCATTCGCCGTAATGCAAGGTTCACCTGGAGGTAGCAAACTCGACTCCGCTAACACGTATCTGACTGGTACAACTTTCTTCAACTTCATTTGGCCAGTGTTTCTAGACTGTTGTGATTTTGTGAATGAAAACATAGACACGGGGAGAAGCTGGCTAGCCTGTTCTGGGGAAATGTCCGTGATCCGCTCCAGGCGGGGGTCACCTCGGTCACCCATGCGATTTGGAGGCACACGGAGACACACACAGTTAAAAAGAACATCATCCATATGCTCAGGCTCCAACCAATCTCCAAAATGCACTGCTCTAGGGCCTCTTCGAGGACCTCCAAGTAACATCGTTTTCACACCAAGAAGGCCATGGTTCTCTCCACGGATATTTCAGTATAACCTACCATATTGAGAAGGGGCCTCTAACCTCCGCCAAAATGCAAGACCAGTATACATTTTCAGGCACACCCTTACAGTAAAGCGATTGGAGCCTGGAAATGTAAGCCACATTTTCCTAGAAGTTGTGACTTATATACTTGAGCGGGGAAACACGAAAGGTAGAGACGGACCGAGTAGCTGTCGGGACCTTTTCTGGTGAGGGCCTGTCTCCGGTGTTTCAGGAACGTGCCCCTTGGTCAATCATGGATGAAGCCAACAAAGCCAGAGAGCACAAGAAGGCATAAGAAGGCTCAAGAGGAACTCCGTTGCGGTCAGATTGCGCCACACGGCTCTGCAGAGAGGCTGCGTTGCGTCGACGCTCGTTTGTGTTTAGGTGTGTGAAAACAGGCGTGCGTAAAAGTCGCAATGCGTAAACGCTCGCATGTGTACCAGCTATGGTCCCACAGCTGCACGCACTGTGTCAGGATTACAGGCCTGCACGCGTTGCGTCGAAGCCGCAGTGACTCAGTGACCAACCCCCTTGTAAGGATAGTGCTGGAGGGGTGCGGCCGGTACTGCCAGGGATGGACGTCACGCTATGGTGGGTGTGCTCCACAATGCGGTAAGATTTCGCCACGCTAGGGTATAAGGCTGAGTCGAATGGTGTTCCGCGACGCGAGGGGTTTCTCCACAGGGCTTTGCAGAGAGGCTGTGTTGCATCGATGCTCGTTGGTGTCGAGCAATATGGTCTGTGAACGCAGTACGCGCTGTGTCAGGCTGCCGGGTGCGCACGCGCGGCATCGAAGCTGCATTGCGCGACCTCATTGCGCAGGGTTCGTGCTGTATTGCGCAACCTCATGGCCAGCGTCGTACTGCTGTGACTGTTAAGCGCATGACTTCACCTTATGTCCAGAATTTAGTAGTGCTGGCGACGAGGGGAGGGGACGGGGAGGGGAGTGGAGGGGAGGGGGGGGGGTCGAATCAATTGATTTATCAATCATTCATCACATGGGAGGGGGGGGGTGTTAGACATTGATCTACCAATCTTTAGTCCCGAGCAAGCTCTCAAGCCAGTCCCTTTGCTTCGCAAAGCAAACTCAAGGTAGTCCTTACCAGGCTACCTTTCGTGACATGTTCAAGAGGCAGCCCCCATTTCCCTGCCCCGCCCGTAATCTTGCATTGATGGGATAGCAGAGGACAGGAATCAATGCTGCTCAAAAAATGCTTGTGCGGGGAGGATGGTTCATTGGTGGGGCTCACATTTTGGCAGAGACCAAAGGAAAAACCAAAAGCACCAAAATGGAAGTAGAAAGGATATAAAATATGATAAAACAATACGTAAAATGAATACAATAAACAATACACATGACTTTGTTTCCTATGTAGCTCCCTCTGTGTCCATGAGTCCGAACAAGCGGGTTTCAAAGAGGAGGGAAGAGAACCGGAGATGGGCGGCGTTCAAGACCTGCCTCACAATGGCAAATGCAGTTGCCAAGCGGCAGAAAAAGAGGCGATGAAAGCACTTGGCCCAAAACGCTCATATAAACACAGTGTGACACATAGCCGGGCCGAAGCCCGTAATGCAAGAATTCAAGAGCAAAGTCAAAACTTGATACACCAACAAGTTAAAGTCAGGCATACACGCATTTATGGTATTCTTTGTTGCCTGCAACTCTCCGAGGTGCCTTTGAAAATAGAGCGCTGGCAAAATGTAGGCTGTGGATGGTTGAGTTGCCGGAAGTGTGGGCAGCAGGGCTTTGGTCAGGAACTTGCATTTTCCTTCACTCTGCGCCTTACAGAATATCTATCATGATTCAATTCCCGCAACTGCAACTTACTCCTGAATCCACCACAGTGAGGGATTTGAAAGTACATTTGACTCCACCCCACCAATCAAAAAGTTTCCAAGAACCTTCCAATGCCAGAAAACTTTGAGACCTATGGCAACACATAGGCACAAAGGGGGTAAGTTATATTTTGGAAGAGCGGACAACTCTAAACAATGTAATGCAACCTACAATTTTCCCGCCTTCTCCCTTTAAACGCGAGTCTAGTGCATAACGGTGTTTGGATGCTGCAGCCGCGGCTACACCCAACCTGCTGCGGGTTCTTGGAGAAAACAGCCTGCCAGTGCTACGTGCACTCAGAGCGGATGTCGCAAAACTGCACAGCTAAGCCCACCTGGAACAGCCAACTGCCTAGCCCTTGAGGGTTGAGAAGGCCACCCTGGAAAGCCGACACGCTCAACATTTGTTTTGTTTGCTTGACATGGACTTACAAGTCCAGCATTCGGTGTTCAATTCAAGTTCAAATCTTCTCTCATAAAACAAACACACATCTTCATTGAGCAAATGTGTTGTACCAAAACAGATGTGGCCTCAGCAAATAGCCCCGAGAGGACATTCAAAACAGCACCACCCCGAAGGTCGGGCCTTACGGTCATGTAAAGAAAGTCTAATGCAGAATGATGTTTATATATATATATACTTGAGAAGGGAGGGGACGAAAGCCAGCTTCAGTAAGAAGACATCAATATGGTTATGCGGGGTCGCAGAAAAGGCCGATATAACGGGCTCTCATTGACAGGTCGGGGAGTGGGTCAAAGACTCGGCGTGCTGCCAAGAGTGGACCGATGTTGCTGCCAAGATCAAGTGATTGTCTAACATCGGGCAAAAAAATGCGAAAAGTACCTTTCTTATGGGGTGATGTCGACAATGCAGCCACGCCGACTGGTGGTAGAAAAAGAAAGCAGAATACACTTTTTTGCGGGGTTGCCCGGTTCAAGCGTATTAAGCTGAAAAAGAGCACTCCTAAGGAACTGAGGGGCGCTTGCCTGCAGCTTGTCTTGTAGATGGAGTCATAAACTCGGCGTGCCGCCAAGAGCGGATCGATGGAAGTCTACTGCAAAGATCACGATCACGCGATTGCCAAACATCGAGCAAAGATTGCTGTGGGGAACCCATCGCCTAGGCTATCAACTGGCTTTCGAAATTAAAAAAGTGTATGTATGTATGTATGTATGTATGTATGTATGTATGCAATATATATGTGCAGACGTATATATCTGTATGATAAACGGATACAGTCCTTTCCGACGTTCCCTTCCACTCTTATTGGCCACGACAAGGTGATGATTGAGAGACGCACCTCTCACTTTTCCTGCTGTATGCCGACCAGTTCTCTCTACTCCTCTTACACATGAGAAGACAGAGCGCTGAGCGACGCACTTCTTGCTAGCTCCCCACCCTATCACGTCCGCCCCCGCTATGCCTGTCTTCCACGTGAACTCCCACCCCATCTGGGGTGCCCTTCTGCCTCTGATTAAAAGGCCTGCTCACCTTAAAAAAAGGCACCCCCAAGCAGTTCAAAGCTTGCCCACTGCATTCTGTTCCCTCTCCTGTCCTCAACGGGTCACATCGTTTCTTGCAGTCCCTTCCACTCATAGCCACAAGAAAGCAAAGCGTTGGGAGACGTACATCTCACTTTCCTTCATTCATGATGCTAATTCGGCGTCGATTACATCACTTGCATCACAACACCCCAAAAAACATACATGTTCGCTGCTTTGCAATCCCCCACCAGGCTCTGGGTCCCACCCCCTAATACTCACTTTCGTTCGCCCATCGACAACTGGTACTAGTAGCGATGCCCTTGTTACTACTAGCTTGTTGTTACTAGTAGTAATGCACTTGTTGCTAGTAGCGATGCACTTGTTACTATTAGCTTCTTATCAGCTGTATTAGGCCTCCTACTGCAAGGAAGTCTCAGAATTCGGTGGCAGCACAGTTTCGGCGCAACCTACACAGGGCCGGCCGAACTGCGAATGTGGATCGAATTTGCTAACCATTGAAGCGATGAAGAAAACAAAAACAAGCTAACCTCAAAAACTCCAGAGACCTTCTATTTTCTCACACAACAAACAGCAATTGCCTTGTTCCAAGACCAGCATGCAATGCCGTCCTCCGAGATGGCCTGAATTGGAAAACTGGAAGACTTTGCAGAATAGAGATTTTCAAGGGCAGTGGTCCAAAGGACACACGAGGCCTCTTGATGGTCAGTATGCCAAGTTGTGAATGATTCGCGCCTGCCACCCATTGGCGGATGGCTTGTCTCGAGGCATCTGACCTTAAGCTGGATTAGGCTGTGTCGTCTCATATTGTTCTGCATGTTCTACATGCTTGGTCGTTGGTGCGTTTTTAAGCTGTTTTGGGTTGCCTTGCAAGCAACTCCACTCCATCTCTGTAGCCACATCTGGGGCCTCACAGTTTCAAACTTCGCGACAACCAGTGCTTGGTTTTCCTAAACCTCTTAACCAGCTGTCATTGGTGGTGAGCCTGTGAGTTTCGAAGCTGCAAGGCCCGGAGCCTGGCCCCAACAACGACCAACCTACGTTTAAGCTCTTACTATCAAGCTATTTGCAAATATTGCTCATATTTGGAGAATGGAAGCGATTTGCAAATCATCACCTGCAAAGGGCATGAATGCTTCAAGTACGCAGGCATGGCGTCTCACGACGCTCTGCTCGCAGTCCGCCCTGGCTGTATCAACAAATCGGAACAGCCTCAAGGGTCCAAACAGCACACAGTGCCTGCGGAAGTTCTCTCAGCCATTGCTGCATTACCTGCACTTAATCCGACCGGGGGGGGTAGAGGACGCTACTAGGAGCAAAGGACATCGCTACTAGTAACAAGGACGCTACTAGGGTCCCCTGGCCTTACTACTAGGAGCATAGTTCGCTACTAGGAGCAAAGGGCATCACTACTAGGAGCAAGGACGCTACTAGGGGCTCCTGGCCGTACTACTAGGAACAAGAAGCTATTAGAAACAAGAAATAAGTAGTATAAATAGAATTAAAATAGAATTAGTAGCGTCATTCAACCTTGGCTTCACGCCTCCGCACGGCCTTTCGGCTGAACTGCACCCAAGCCTACGACAAGTGCGATGCTTTGAAGATTCGGAGGATGTGGAGCTCTTGAAACATTGACGGGTGCTTAGGAGGTGTTATTGTCTGGATAATTTCCTGGCTTGATCAACCTGCCAAATCTACCACAGGGGTGACAGGGGTTGAATGTTTCTTTGCAGCAGTATGTTTGGAACAAAGGCATGGTGTTTTCACGTTTGGAAGTCTGAGGTCAACTTTACCAAATGCACAAATGTTCTTTTGCTGCATTTTCCTCACAGGAGACAATGTCTGAGCATGTCTGAACAATATTGGGTCTAAGAGTTCAAGTTCCGCACCTCCCCTGTAAATACAAGTTGACAAACACCTTTCACGCAGGCATAGGTCTGAGCTGCTTTCTTTAGCTGGATTCTGATCCCTTCCACGACGATCCCTTTCCTTCAAGAATCATGTGAAATATGTGTCTGTTTCCGTTATATAAATGCTCTAGACTCCCTTTCATGTTCATTGTCTTCCTGTCCTTTCTTCCTATTTCTTTTAGTTTTGATGTTCCCTTCCTTCTGGATTCTGAATCATCCTGTTTGTTGTCCTGTTCGCGTTATTTATCTGCTCTTGTTCTACTTACTTTTACCTTATTTATGTCCTTCTTCACGTGTCCCTTTTTGTTGTAGCCTGTCTTTTCTGTTTCTGTTGTGTTTGCTGTTTTGGTGCTTTGTTTTCCATTTTTCATGGTTCTGATGACCTCCAGTTGCTACCCAACTTACTTCATGTCAAGCCCGCCTGGCTTCTGGTCAAGGTCATCTTGTGGCTCTGTGTACAGAACCTGATGTCCCCACAACGGGTGGAAAATACTAAACTGACAAAAACAATACTGCTCAATCATAGCAACTTGTCAAAGTTGCCAACTAGATCATCAACCATCGTTGGCAAGCTCACGTCACGTTGCAGCTGGCCTGTGAGTGCTCCCACTGATATCAAATACAAAATCGTTTTCAACATCAACTAGTGGCATACTAGTATGACATACTCTCAGAATGACATACTCTCCATCCTCGAAGCACTTGGCCAAGGTCCAACAAGATTCCCCCGTAGCGTTTCGCAGGCAAAAATGTTCGATCTGTTTCGTGTGTTGGTTCTGGCATGCAATCCAATACAGTCGCTCTTCTCAGCAGTTAAGCCATTGCATAGGATCCATTAAGAGAATTTCAAGCCGCATCCGCCTGAGATGCTATTAATTTTGCTCATGGCTCTCCTCTGACCTGCAGGCAAAAGCATTCTAGGGAGGCAACAAGGTCGGCCATCAAGCTGAGCCAAGAGACCATTCGGGGGTTGTGACAGCTTGCCCTGAAGAAGAGACTCTACCTGAACAATTCATGTAGAGGACAAGTCATAGAGTCATATGCCCTATTAGGTTTTTCCAAAGCCAAGCATCGCACAGTCTGCACAAGGGAAGCAGGGAAAGGTGCGCTTTGACCGTTTGGCGATACCTGCGACCAATAGTCACATCCACTCGAGAACCTTGCTAGGTTCGGTAAGGAAAATAGAAAAGCTATCAGAATCCTCCGGATCCTATCTTCTCTCGTGCCGAGCAGCCAAGTCGACCTTTCTGCCGTAGCTCTCTTCAATTCCTGCAAACGCGCAGCATACGAGCAACCACATTGTCCAGTCTTCATGTTTCAGAGGACCTGGTCCATATGAACTTGGCGTACCGTGCGGTATTGGTGACCCACCTCGATGCGAAAGGAACAGAACAAAGAATTCAATCCGCAGCTAAACCTGCCTAGCATGTTCTTCGGGAATGCCGACCGGCCTGAAATTCACATTTCTGAGCAAGGTGGTGATGCAAAGTATGCCTGGAAAAGTCTTATGCATCTAAAGCATATGAATTGGGTCTATCCCATTACCAGTAACAGTGGATGATGATGGCTAGCACGCCTTGTTCGAAAATAGTGATATAGCAGTTGTTTACTGACTGTTACAAGTAATAATAGCAACATATGAACTACACAGAGAGAAGTGCCAACAATGACTTCTCTGAGTTTTCTGCTTGGCAAACTACTGGACGGAACAGGGCAATTTCCTGCTGTCGAAGTGGCACGAGCTGTACGAACCCTGTAAGTTTTTGCAAGAACACCTGGGCAAAGACACATGCCTGCTCGATCAAAGGAGGAGCAATCGATGGACGAAGCTGCGCACAGTTGCAAAGAGCACACTCGTCATTGATGTCTGTAAGAAAAGGCATTGGAAAGCTGAGCTGGGGGTAGGAATGTTACAGGACCTGCGATCACATCTTGCAGCAAAATGCATTTACAGTAAAGACCGCCTGCTCGCTGCGGCGGGCCTTCGGCAATAATCATATTCGTTAAGGATATCAAGGAAGCAGGGAAAAAAGAATGTGGAGCTTTTGTTTTCTATTTTGTTTTCCTGGAACAAGTTTCAAGGTTAGCACCTCTCCCCTCATTGGGCTCTCGAGGAAGAGAGCTGCCCCTCTGTGTCGAAGGGCACCTGAAGTTGTGCAAAAGAAAAAATGAGGGAAGGCCACCAAGGGCAACTTGCCTTGGAGCAGAGGAGGACCTTGAAGCTGGAAGTCCTGTCAAGAATTCCACTGTTCGAATCTGCGTCAAACAACTGCCAAAAGTCTTTCATGGCACTCTGCCTCGGTCGCTCTGTGGCCGGCTCGGTGAATTTTCCTGGGGCTCCTTCAGATTGAAAGCGACATAGTCCAACAAATCAAAGTTCCTTCCATGGTCTCCGTAATTTCGGACAGCGGTCTCCCGAAACCTTTGACGAATTCAATACAACTCTCTGAAGTTGTCCTTTCGGGGAGCTGGTGGAGGACGTTCGCAAACCTGCAAAGTCAAAGTATCTCGAAAAGCTTTATGAATGTCACTGCTTCGCAGGCACGTTGGTTCCGGTCCTGGTCCAAAAAGCGAGGCCACAAACGGCCACCACCAGCACCTGGAATCCGGAGGTTCTAGGTGAAAAGGCAAAGAGAAAAGCAAGAGTCCAACCATAGATTGCAGCAGAGTGCTGCTGCTGGCTCCTTAGGACGTTGTTCAGGTGTTCATTCGAACGGTCTCATGAACACAAGGAGGATGGTTGACCCAGGTGCCCAACGGCTTATCCCGCAAAGCAATTCGACCAATAGCCGACAGTCTGGCTCCTTTGGCGCAAGTCTTCGCAGGCGGTATTGTCCAAGTCAAAACAAAGACGTGGCGACGTAGCGGTGTCCACCTGTAAGTAATTCTTGCAAATGATACAGCTGGGAAAATCAGAGCGAGAAACATTCAAAATTACCTACAGTAGTTTATCTTAAGAAATCAAACACCCCTATGCCCTATGCTTTTTAAGGAGAACTGCTTGTGTGACCTGCTGGAACACCGCGGTTTTCAATCGGAACTGCGGCCAGGTTTGACCAACAGACTCTTCGTCTGACATATTGAAAGAAGATATAAGAACGTTTTGATTGTGCAAGATAGGCTGCCTCAAACTTAAGGGTACGAAGACTGATTCAACCAAGCAAAGCGCGATGTTGTGGAAATGATTGTGCCGTGCATTGATCAAAAGTTCTGGAAAGTCCCAAGCATCACTCATGCTCATGGCTCTCTCGGCCTCCATCCTTGGTTGCAATGCTGTTTCTGGCAAGCCGTGGTGAACCTACCAGAGCTGGAAAGAAGGCAGTAACGGTTCACAACTGTGTAGCCACATAGCCAACAACTCTCAAAGGGGAATTCCTTCTGAAGCAAGTCTGGCCTATGGGTGGAGGTTGCACCATCGACTTCCTGGGCGACCTGAATTGTGTCCCCGTTGCTCAGGCTACTTGGCAACTTGGCAACTTACAAATTCAAAAAAAAATGTCTGAAAGCCTCTACAATCTGGAAAGGGCAACCTGTTGAATCAATTGAATCTGCAGAATCATTTGAATCAAATTTATGACACCGGCGCCGTCATCATTGGACCTCCGCGGCAAAGAGCGGTAAAGCAGAAAAAACTGGGAACAAAACTCAGCCAGATTGAAAGGCTCAGTGGGTCAAGGCTGCCCGGCCACATCGCATGTCACGTATATCCCAAATTGATGCACGTGTCATGTCCGCATACTCTCAAGCCATCAGTAGGGGAGCTATCCGTTAGCTGTATACTCATATACATTGCGGCAAGAACCAACATGAACAAGCGGCAAAGTAACGAGCAGTGAAAGAACACAATCACCTCATCACAATCAACTTGTTCACGGCAAAGAGAGAAGAAGCGCATATTGTTCTCTTGCCGTGTGTTCTCTTGTGCTTTCATTTTCGGAACAAGCAACGCTGTGATACCTTTGAGCCATGAAGCGTGTCCGGCAAGCATTGAAAATTGCATGGCCCATGTACGACGTAGTGCAGTCTGCCCAGGTCCACCTATGAAATCGAACTGCCTAGACTCACGTGACTTCAAGATTGTCCTATGTAATTCTGCCTGAATTCAATGTTTGACTCGCAAAACAACAGTTCAATGTCTGCGTGGAGGAGAAGTATATCTCCCAACTAGCGTAGTGACAGTGCGTATCTGTACAGTATGCACGTTGGACCCAAAAGTATCCTGAATTATATAGTCGAGAAGGAACAAGAAAACGCGTCGTGTCGAAAGATTCTGGGATTTCAACCAGAACTCATTTCTCAGAAAAGGTCCATGATGAAATCACCGGCGTCTTCTGCCGCTCCGGCAATCCATTCACCCGCATCTTCTGCAGCTCCAGCAATAGCCTCGCCTACATCCTCAGCGGCACCTGAAACAGTTTCAGAATCACATACAATCAGCAGTTGATGTAAATTCAGACGAACAACACATCCAACATGCAAAGGGTACATAAAGGCTGAATCTCCTAGTTCTGACTCATTGCATGCAGTTTCAGAAGGCTGGCTTTCAAAGCACGAAGACCAGAATTCCCCCACATCTGGACTCTTTCACAAACAGCGAAAATGTCAAAGACTTCCGGCCCATGTCGCAAAGGTGCACCTGCAATGGCCTCTCCTGCATCAGCGGCAACGTCGCCTAGCTCTGCCATGGTTGCATCCCAGCCCTCCTCAGCAATGTGCTCACCAAGGACTGCTCCGGCCACTGCCAAACCACCAACAGCTACAACACCTGCAGTGCCAGCAGCAACTTTGGCACCAGTGCTCCATCCACCCTTTTTTTTCTCCTTTTCCTCTTCTGTAGTTGCAGGTGCATCTGGACCAG